TGACATGTCATCACAACCAGTCATGTAAGGAATCTTGTACAATGGAAACTTCACATGAACACTCCCCATGTCTTCATCACATGTGTAGGGACTTGGACAGTATAATCATTCAAGCAGCTGTCTGTTCATCTTGCTGGAAACACTACAATATTATGAACTAAACCCTCTGTCTGACTACCTCACGAACGAGTGATATAGTCAGGGACACTCACCCATGTGCTGAAGACCTCAGGCATTGCTGGAGCCCTGTACAATGAGAACGTGACCCAAGGCTCTCCATGTCCCTACTCACAGGCATGTGTGGAGCCCTGCACGACTTTGATGTGAGCAGAACTAGTTAACAAGACCAACTCAGTTTTCTGCAGTTCTCGGTTCCAAGGAGGAAGTTATCAGAGCTGTCTATTTCCTGACCACTTCAGCAGGTTGTCAAGCCCTATTGAAACAAGGAACTGAGCATTGCCCCACTGTTTTGACCACATGGGACACATGGAGCCCTCTGTAATGAGGTTATGAGCAAAGCACATCCAGCAGTTAGCACACACTGCTACATGGATGGAGTAGAGCCCCCAGTATCCTGCCCATTTCAGAAAGGAGCAGAGACCTCCACAGCATGGATATGGAAGATCCCTTAATGTCGTGAACATCATCGTGGGATGGGGGTCCTTATACAACAAGTAGGTGAGCAAAGTCTCCCCCATATCCTGACCCTCTCAGGTGGAGAGCTGTACAGTGAGATGTGAGCAGACACCACCGTGCCCCATCCAAGCATCCAAGTGGTCTTAGCCTTCCCCACCCTGCCCAAGGCCCCCACACATGCCGAATATACATGGTATGTGGGAGCCCTCCCCGACCTGGACATGCACAGCATCTTCTATGTTGAGACCATCTCAGGCTATATGTAAAGCTGTCTACAGTGTACATGGGAAAGAACCGACGCACTCTTTATCTGAGCTCTCTGTGTGTGCGTGTGTGTGTGTGTGTGTGTGTGTGTGTCTAGCGTTGTCCAATGGAGAGGTGAGCAGAACCTTGGAGTGCCAGGCCCCTATCTAACGTGTGGAGCCCTCCACTAGGAGGATGTGAGTGGAGCCCCCCTATCACCACATTCTGTTCCTGTTGGGCACATCCCAGCCATTGAATCCACCCCACATGGAGTTCCCTCCAACTCAAGTAGGAGCAGCTCCGGTCCCCGATGTCTGACCATGTCAGTTATGTGTGCCGCTCATACATTGGGGATGGGAGCAGAGGCCCCATGTCATGCCCCCACTATCTCAGGTGTGTGAGAAGCCCTCTACAGTGCCGATGTCTACAGTGGCCGGTCCTGACCATCATTGTGTGTGGTGCATGCCAAAAGGTGGATATAGGCAGAGGCCTCACGCCTTGGCTCGCTCAGGTGTGAGGAACCCTCGAGAAAGTCACTAGACCCAGAATGCTCCGTCCTCACATTCTGAGCCCTTTAAGTATGTTGGAAGGCCTCTACAATGTGGATGTGAGCACAGTGGTGCTGCCCTAGGTCCAGACCATCTCAGGTGTGCGTGAGGGACCATGCACATGTTGATGTATATGGATGTGTTCAGAGCTCCTATATCCGGGCCATCTCAGGGGTGTGTGAGTGCCTCTAAAATATATGAGTGACTAGAGCCCCCTACATCCTGACATCACAGGCGTGTGTGGAGTGTTCCACACTGCAGAGAGGAGCAGAGACCTCCACTCACTGAGTTTAAAAATCCCGTGTGTGGAGACCAATCTGTGATTTCAGTACACTCCACCCAATCCTCAGAGCAGTCTTGTCTGCAGCCTTCTACAACATGGATGTGAGTGGAGGCCCTGACCATCATCACATGGACTGGACTCCCAACAACATGGAAGTGAGCAATGCTCCCCCAGCCCCAGCTACCTAAGGTATGTGGACAGCCCTGTCCAAAATGGATACGAACCAAGATCTCTGGGCTGATAGCTCAGGCACGTGGGGGCCCCTGTGCCAGGTCACCCTCTAACTGGGTGGGGAAACCTCATCAAGATGGATGTTAGCAGAGCCCCTCCTGTGCTGACCTTCAGTAGGGACATGGGAAAGGACAGCATAAAAAAGGGAAATGTTTATGCAGACAGCAAACAACCTCTGTCAACACAATTTAGCTCAGGTCACAGTCTAAGCCCTGACTGCTATACTGCCCCATGTAACAAGGCATTTTTGCATTTTTATATCACTACAGACAAATAAAGGAAATCCATACTCATCTGGGCAAAGTCAACTCAGGACCAGAGTGAGACCCCCTTTCCAGTCACTCAGTAAATGCACAGCTCTGCGGGGCACACAGGGTCCGCGGTGGAGAGCATCATTGGAAGACTCACAGGACATGTGGCTCTGTCTAACCGGTCACAATGCATGTCACTGGTAAAACAGGCAGGCACAAATGGGGCAAAGTTACCTGCTCGAGGTGACTCCCAGTGGGAATAGGCCTGGCTGAATCTAAATCTGGCAACTCCAGATTTGGTGGACTGGCACCACCAAGTGCCACTCAGACATCTGCAGTGAAGCACTGGGGCAACTTCGTATGGCAAAGCCTCCCTACCCTGAGCAGGACAGGGTCGAAACTGCTGCCTTTACTGAAAAGTACATTTAAGGAAGGCTAAATAGAGTTCCCCACAGTACCGAAATTTGAAACGCATCCTAATGAGATATTTGACAATGTGAAATAGGATGAAAAGGGGAAAGGTGTAGGGAAAATGGGAAGGATAGTGGAAAAATTAATAAGGGAAAAGAAAAAAATATGAGAAAATGAAAAAATGGAAATAACATCTTTGTTAATTGGAAGGGGAGGCGGGGGTGAATGGAGAGCAGGAACCAGGGGAAAAAATGAGAACCAAGACATGTCATGTAAAGGTACAAGATCCAATAATGAATGTAACTGGAATGTATATATAAAATGCAATAAACTCATTTGGAAAAAAAAAGAAAATTAATATGCACTTGGGCTTCCCTTGCCCTTGCACCTCCTTCCCACTGGGAGCAATGAAGCCTGCCATGCAGTGGGTTCCCCAGCTCCAATTCTTCCCACTGGCGATTGCTAGGAAGGAGGGTCAGGCATGTTTACTAAAGATGCACTAATTCCAATTAAGCTGGTGCCACCTTCTAATCATAGAAGAAAGAGCAAAGCCAGTGATAGGTGCTCCCAAGGGTGTGGGGCACCGACAGAAGGAGTGTGTACTTGTAGACAGCAGCGTGGCACAATGTGTGACCCAGTCACGTAGAGCAGGAGCAATTGGGAGACCACACAATGTCCACCCCTCAGAAAAAGTGGGACCCCTAAGGGTCACAGAGCACAACGCACCAGTTTGTTCACAGAATCCTCAGCCCAGGGGAGCCATCAACAAGGGTCACAAGGTAGAGCAGGCAGGTGGAGAGGCAGGGTGGGACCCTGACCCCTCAGAGACACAGTCTTACAAATGCTCAGGATTTCTGGGTTCAAAACACAGTAAGGCTTATTTCTGCGGCTTTAAATGATATGCAAACTTCTTCTGTCCCTAACTCAGACCTTTCTGAACTACCTAAATGTCTTGTGCTAGTGAGTAAGGAAAAATAACAAGCTATGGGAACTTACTAGCAAAAAGCTCAAGTAACACATTAAGAAATTCCAGTTAAATATGAGGATGCAAAACAACTCAAGGTCAGGTGTGCAATCCTTAATTTTTACAGAATGATGTGAGAAAGTTTGAGCTGGGTGTCATGGTACACATCTCTAATGCCAGCACTTAAGAGGCTGAGGCAGGAGGATTTTCAGTTTGAGGTCAGCCCTCACAGCGCTTTGGCTTGTGTACCTTACAAATAAACACTGTGTGCATTCAAGGTGTACAGTGTGATGATTATGTGTTTAACTACACTGTAAACTGAATTCCCCATCAGGTGACCTAACACATCCATCATCCCGGATGGCTGCCCTTGGAGAGTGTACAGGCGCTTCAGGGATACGGGCACTTTAAACCATGTGCCTGTAAAGCCCAGCTAGATGCTGATGGCCTCCTGCCTTCTCCATTCAGGCTTCTCACATACTCTCTACAGCACCCACAGGTACAGCTACACTGACGTGTCTCTCACAAATCACCTCAGACCTCTCTCGGCACAACCACAGCTCCTGGTCACCTCCACAATTCTCTTGTTGTCCTTTTCTTAGCCCACCCACACTGGGCTCCTTGTGGGTGGGGCCCCAGCATCTGTTTGCTCCCTGGATGTTGTAGCTCCCAAGGGGTCTCACTCCCTCACCTGCAGCGCCTCCCTACAGTTGGTCCCCATCTTGGATTTCTCCAAGGCTCTTCTAACGCGCTTTGTGATCTTAACATCTGCCTGTCTGCTCTAGAATGCACATCAGTAGATCCCAGGTGTATCTCCGAGATTGTTCACTGCTATCAGAACAATGTCCTAACACAACAGGAACCCAAAGGGGGAGGGGTTTCTGAATGAAAGGACGCGCACAGCAATCTTACCATAGAAAGCAAGACCTGAAAATCCTTACCGGGTAATCCGACCTGCGACAGCAATCGAAACTGCCGAGAAAGAGAGAAAGCACAGCTTGAGGGAGGGCGGTGCCCTTGGGCACATGGAGTCCGGGCGTCCTCAGGTCCTCCGCACACACCTGTCATGGAATGCGCTGACTCTCGCTCTCCTTGAATTGCCCGCGCCTCCCCAGCAAGTCCCCCAGAGTACCAAAGTGGACAGGTAGGAGTTGCCTGCACGTGCGGCGCAGCCCAGTCCTGGTCTCCAGAACGGCCCCGATCCTCCAGGCGCGAGCAGAGGCACCCCGCGCCTATGTTCACACATCTGTGCTCAATGTGAGCGAGTGGGGGCGAAACTCTGTAGAACTCACTGGGGGAAAGACACGCTGCAGGTGCAACAGCTGCTGCCAGTTTCGCGAGCCTGCAGCCTCCCATTGGCCGAAGCCTTCCTCCTCCTTCCAACTGACCAATGGCAAAACGAGGCCGCACCCAGGGGATACGGGTTCTGAGCGCGAGATTGTGGCGTCACTTCCTGGTGCCATTGGTTGCTAGGGACGCTTCGGGCTACCAAGACAAGGAGGCCTCAGGCTGACTTATGGGTGTGTCTGTTGGCATCAGATGAAAATGGAAAAACCAGCCTGCAGAAAGACAGATGATTAAACAACAACAACAACAAAAACTAGAGTGAAGGGATTGTTACTGTAGGGGTCGTCACCATTGAAAAGATCCACAGCGATAAGCATGCCTTGACACGCACAAAGGCAGTGAAGATCGGTCACCCAGAGCGCCAGCTCAGGTGAGAACAAGCCTTAGCTTCTTTGTTCCAGTTGGGGATGGGCTGTGGGGAGCCACTGAGTGTCACATCATAGCCCGACAGTGAAGACCAACCTTGTGTTATGTCCTTCAACTTTTACAAACAATAACGTTACTGGTTCCGGTTTCACGAAGTGTAACCACAGCTACTCTGGAGGATGACCTAGTAGGCTGGCAAGTTCATGCCACCTTGTCCAACTTACTAAAAGCCTATGTCAAAATAATAATACAACTAAACATAGAATAAGGTGCAGGTAGTGTTACGGAAGGAATCAGTGAGTGACATACGGAGAGGCAGCGGAATGGAACTAAAACAACAAATTTATTCATCGATAAGGGTAGATCACACAGAAGCCGTGCCTGGAACGACCCTGATTGATGAGTACATTTGTTATTTTACTTCCATTTTGCTTCCTCTCTGTGTGTCACTTACTGATTCCTTCCTTAACAGTACTAGGGCTGTAGCTAGCTCATCCTGGCATGTCTGAGGCCCTCAGTTCCATGCTCAGTACTGGAAAAGGAAATAATTCTGGGCTCTTTCCTCCTGTGGGAAAGAAAGATAGAAAAGAAAGACAAAATAGTTCTGGTGTAAGAAATAAGAGTGGTGCTTTATATGTAAAATATCACAATGCCTTAGCTACAAGGAAAAGAAGACCAGGAATATTAGCCTGACACGCAGGGTCATTTTTCACTGTAGGATCAGTGGGTTCTGGAAGTGCCAGCTGAGAAGCGGAAGTCCTGGACAGGGATTCTAGATGGTTTGTGCTCAGTGGGCTGGAGAATGGGCCTTATACTTGGCTTTGGACTGGGGAAAGCAGACAAGTACGGGTCAATTTAACCTGAAGTAGACTTGGCATTGTGGATCTTCATGAAATTCATTTCAGTCTCTGAAATTACATTTGTATGAGTCAGAATGTATTAGTGGCACCAGTAGCCAGCTGGGAGAAGAAAGGCAAGCTCTAGAAGGTGATATCCCAGGCCGCCAAATATAAGTGCTTATAGATTATACTCAGGATTCCACAAAAATTAGGTGTGTACCTAAGAAGACAACAGTATTTTTGAGTCAAAAGTCTGACTGTGGAGTCCATGTGGGCTGTGAACTGACTATGTAGCCTAGACTGGCTTCAAATTCAAGATCCTCCTGCCTCAGCCTCTCAAGGGCAAAAAATATGGGTAATGAACACAGCACTTGCTGAAGACAATACTCTCAAAAGTCAAGAAAAATAATTTAGGTTTTCATTGCACAGTGGGTTGCTAACACACACTGAAACACTATGACATCATGGATAATGAGGGGCAGCTCCAGTCACCTGTCAATAGGAGGTTCAATGGTCAGGGTCTCAGTCTCTGCAGGGCCAGTGCCACACGGCTCTCCTTGCATGGCGGGTGATCCTGTACAGCGGAAGACCTGGATTCCCTTCAGAGCCTGGGGTCTCTTGCTGTTTGCTGTGTACCTCTCTCGCACCTTGGGTCTTCCAAGGTCAGGACACCCCGCATTTCAGATACAATGTGCTGCAGAGCTTTCTCTTGCTGTGTGCCTGCCTCAGAACTCAAAATCAGCTAGATGTGGTGGTGCATAACTGTCAATCAAGCTGAGGCAGGAGGATGGCAAATTCAAGGCCAGGGTGGAAAACTCAGCAAGAACTCTTCTCTGGTGAGGTGCAATCCACTGCCCCCTGGGCTCAATCCCTAGTATTGCAATCACCCAACCAGTTAGGTTTCCAAGATACTCAATCAATTGGTGGTCATATGGAAGATGACATAGGTGACTCCAAATCCACAGGTCTCAACCAAGGGAGACAACCCACCTCCTTAGTGGTAAAAGACTTTGCTTGTTTTCCATTTCTGTGTTGCAAAGGAAACCAAACTTTAACAACCCAGGCGATTACATTGGCTCTCTCTCGGGTCAGGACTTTGTGGAAGGCTGAGCTGTGTGCCTCTATCTCTCCGGCTGTCACATGCCCCACCACCGCCAGAATGTTACCACAGCCATGGTGACATCTGAAGGCTTTTCAGGGATGAGCACGCCCAAGTTCACTCACTCGGATACTGGGAGGACTCATTCCTCAAGGGCACTGGAGTGAGGGCTCCGGTCTCTACTGCCAGGTTAGCAAGGGCTCGCCACAGGGGAGTTTAGGACATGGCAGGTGGAATCCCTGTGAGTGAGCAGAAGGGATACATAGAACACACGAGTACAGCCTCTTTTCTATTGTCTCTCTCAAATGCCTTCAGATCCTTTCTGCTGTGTACTGTTCACAAGGTCAGTTCACACTGGGTGAGGGGTCACCAGGAAGAGGTCATCCACAGGGACCGCATGACAGGCTGCCTCGCTCCAGGGCGAAGTGTGTCCAACATGGACAAAGAGGTGTTCTGTTGTGCCCAGGCCAGTGGACACAAAAGGCTTCAGTCCTATGGCTGAACGCTGGGTTCACTTTCTCCTCTCTGACACCCACATGTCCTCTAGGCACCCAGACTGCTGTGTATTACCTGTGCACCAGGTGCTATCAGGATCCTCTCATCACTATGGCCTGTCCCTGGACTGTCAAGATCCCCAGTGTCCCATAGACACAGACCATTTGGCTACTGTCCACTTTTAGACCCTATCTGGGAAATGCTGTTAACACTAGGCAAAGCCGTCAATGTGACCCAATGTCCCTCCCTTCTGAGTACACATGGCTTTCAATTCTCTTTCTTGATGTGGACAAAGAAGATGCCAAAGGCTCTGCCCCTATCTGAAAAGAAAGCATAGGCACAATGGCAATAGTCAGGGCCTGACGCTCAGATGGTGACAGAGTTGCCCTCCATATTGTGTTCCATGTGGTGCCACACATCCTGACACTGTTTTAGGGAGAATGTCCCACAGTCCAAGGGAGGTGTTTTCCTCGGTTTCTGACTCCAGGCAATCAATAGCCATCTCAGTGACTTCTCCTGCCCTGTCGACCTCAGTGGTGCTGAATCCATGATTCAGAGACCCAGCAGCCAGCTGTCAGCTCTGCAGTTTCCCTACGGTATCCCCATCTCCACCTGGCTCTGTACCCTGAGCCAAGGACCGCAGGACACGGCTGCTCCTGGCCTTCTCAGCCATGCTGTGTCTCCCTGACTACCATCCTAGAATGCTCGAGGGAAAGGCAGGCTTTGGGCCCTGGGAACTATCAGCTGGAGTTGCTCTGACAACTCTGCCCTCAAGTCCACCACCCCACCTACCTCCTACTCGCCTTGTGCTTTGCTGTCAAGGCAGCACTGGGTGCCCACCTTATCTCCTGAAGGGTCACAAACCTATCTCTTTGGGTGAGTATAGAAAAACAACATTTTTTGCACTTCTCTTTTTGGGAATGCTGACAGTGCCTAGATGCAAGGCCATCCCAGTATCCCTGAACATTTCATCACAAGAAATGCATTTTTTGTGCATTCAGCACAAGAAATGTATCTCCCCCACCACCACCAAAAAGAACCAGGTTCCTTGGAGAAATCCTGCAGTGCTGTGTCAGGATGCAAAAGATGGACCCAGGAGATCTTGGTAGACTTCTCAGGAAGGACAGACAACAACCAGATGGATAAGTGTCCCAGGATGGGATGCGAGGAGGTCCCTTCCCCCAGCAGGACAGTGAGACCTCTCCTGGGACCTGCAAGCAGATTCTTGGCTCATTTCACAGAGAAAGAATGTCAGGATGTGTCAGTGTGATTAGGTTTATTATGCAGGTTTATTAGGGTGCCTTAGAAAGTAAACAAGAACATGAAATGTCCTCCATGTTCAACAGCTGAAGGGAGATCACTCTGCTGCATGGAGAGGTCCTGATGGGCTAGCTACAAAGAAAAGCCTTCAGAACGGTCTTTTTCATCTGCACTTTGCCCTTGAAGCCCTTCTGGAATGGCAGCCAGAACGTTGCACAGCTGGGGCAAGTGCTCTGCCTGAGACCTACACCCCCATCACTCTGAGGCTGTTTCAGGAAGAATTCAACCACTACCCCTCAAGCCTTACTCTTGTAAAATCCTCCCGAGTGCCTCCCAGGCATGTCTGGCTCTCGGGTTGAAAAAAGCTGGTTTACATACTCATAGCAAAACTTAAAGCGTGAAAGTTTACTGCACTTAGTGCTCTTCCTGCAAGCTTCTCCTCAAACCTCTGATGCAATTGTGCCTTCTCCTAGATGCCACCAGATGCTGTGTCTCATGTGGCCAGAACTGAAGTCATCCACCCCTCGGGAAGCTGCAGAACACCAGGAGAGAACTGGCATGGGAAGCACTGCTTCAGACGAGACTCCCAGGCATCGGTGACCGCCGTTAGACACAGGTATGTGACGTGGTGAGGTGAAGACAGATATGGGTTCAGCTTAGAAAGAACAAACCTCCCTGCTGGGATTTTGTTGGTCGGCAAAGCCAAGGCAACACAGTGCTGGGGAGCTGTCAGCCTAGGCACAGGCCAGCACCATACGAGAGACTCCACAGTCAGTGCCGTGTTTGCCCGAGCACCTGGGCAATCAATGCAGTTACCTAAACAGTTTCTGGAGTTTTATTATCTGCCCACATTACTTTTTCGGGAGTATTCAGACTTCTGATAGCTCATTTGCTTTAGGGAATGTTAGCAAAAGCAGAAAATAGGAAGCCTGCTACAGGAATAATCTGTTCTCAACATGTATTCTATTTGATTTGTAAGATTCCCTGCATCAAAATGGCCACAACACTAGTTCCATGCCAGACCTAGTTTCATGGCCCTGTAATCCCAGCTATTCAGGAGGCTGAGGCAGGAGGACTACAAGTTGGAGCCCAGCCTGAACAGCATGGCGAGACTGTGTCCCCGAAAATGAGTAAATAAAAGTAAACATGCCTGGGTTTCTAGCTCAATGGCAGAGTAACTCTGTGTTGAGACTCCAGGAGCAGCCTCTGCACTCTCAAAATAAACACCTGATTTGGTCTTCATATAATTTCTTAAAAACATATTTCTGAAAAGTATTTTTATGACATTCATCACAGGCAGTTCCACCACTAGGAACCTTCTTTGATCTCACACTATAGCACAGAAACAAAGCAGTCAGCATTTGTGGTGTGGGTGGAGCCCTGTGATGTGAGGTGTTGATCAGAGCCCCCATGTTCTGAGGACCTCAGTCAGGAAGAGACACCTGTACGTGGTCCTGACTGTCTCGGCCACTAGTGGAGTCCTGGCCAACGAGAACTGAGAGTAGTTGTCCTACACCCTCATCAACACAGATGTGTGGGGCCCCCAACAAGCACGATGTGAACAGAGACCCCCATGACCTGACCTTTTCAGTTCTTTGTGGAGGCAACAAGGAGGTGAGCAGAGACTCTTGTCTTGATACATGAGAAGTATGCAGGTCCCTGAAGTCAGTTTCTGATCTAGGGACCAAATGTCCTGACAGGAAGAAGCCACATACAGGTTGTAGCCACAGAAATAGGAGTTTTGGATCCAGGTGAGCAGAGAAGAGCCACATAATGATTTTGCAATGAGGAAAGTAAATTTATTATAAAAGTATAGAACATGTGAGCATAGTAAAATAATACATTACTGCATAATGAGGTAGCACACGGCACCAAAGGTGAAGGATCGTGCATGAGACAGAGCCTTAGGCAGGAGGGAGAGAAAACAGCACACCACCTCAGTTTCTTAAGAACTGTGTTCAGACAAAAGTGACTGTGTCTTCAGGGCTGTGTGGCTGGAAGGGTCTTAGGTGAGATAAATCAGCCATTTGCGTGCATGTTTGAACAGTTATCACTATACACTCATTTAGCAGGACCTAGGCTCCCTGCAGAAAGGCACACAGGCCAACATCATTCAACAAACATGCATAGCATTTCACTTGCTCATCGCTTTTCACCCTTTCCCTGTATGTGGAACCCTCTGTGATGTGGATGTGAGCTGAGCACCCCACGCCCTGACCTCAGGCAGGTCTGGGTCCTGTGCCTGGAGAATGGGAACAGAGTTCACCCACAGTTTATTTTCAAATGAGGGGTGAAGGTGTAAGGGAAGAAATCACTTGGCAGTACAAACATAGGACAAACACACAGAGAGGAAAGGACAGAGTAGTGACAAAGGTCATCCTGGGTCTGAGACACAGGAGAGGCTATGGTGGGGCTCTTGAGGGCAAACTTCCCACACTGTTTTGTCTCTTCTATACCGCTCAGACCTCATGGAAGCATGATGGTCCTGACATTTATCTGGTATTGTTCTGGGATCTTGAAATTGACACTTCCTGCACACTTCTCCAGCTGTGCTCTGGGATTAGTAGATGACAGGTCCTGCTTCTTTCCCCAGCCAGCTTTGCCACGTCCCACCTCCTATATCACCCTGATGGGGATGTGAGCCCTATCCATGGGGAAGGGGAGCACAGCCCACCACACAAACACAGGCTGACCACTCAGGCATGTGAAGGCCCTGGAGGATGTGAGCAGCACTGCCATGTCCTGCCCACCTCACCTGTACGCAGAACCCTCTACAATGTGGATCTGAGTAAAACACTTTTCCATTCACCTTCTCAGGGGTGTGGAGTCCTTGGTCAGGAGGAGGATGTGAGCAGAGCTTTCCAGGTCATCACGGCAGAAGCTTTATGTGGCGCCCTCTGAAACAGCGCTGTGAGCAGTGCACCCCTTGTCCTGAGCACCTCTGGCACGTAGATCCTTCTGGTATGTGGCTGTGAGCAGAGCACCCTGTGTCCTGACCACGCAGTGGGTCGAAGTATGTGAGAGCCCCACATCTCCAATGTGCAGACTGCCTCAGGCCGGCCACACACCCTGTACCCTTTGAGTGTTTGTGGAGCCCAGCATGTGCTAACCATCTCAGGGACATATTGAGGCCTCTACATTGTGGAAAAGGGCAGATCCCCACCACCTCTTGAACATCTCAGTCATCTTCCACAATGTGCGTGGCATGTGAAGCCCTCTTATCTAGTTGATGTTATGTGTGAGTGTCGTCCTGCAGGCCGTGGATGTGACCGGAGATCCTGCTGACCTGAGTATCGCATGTGTTTGTAGAATCCTCTAAAATGCAAAAGAAAGCAGAGCTGCCCCCATCAATCCTGACCAAATCAGATGCATGGGATTCTCTAAAATCCTCATGTGAGGGGAGGTCCCATCCATCATCCCGTGCATGTATGCAGACCTCTACAGCATGATGATGAGCAGGCACCACACTGCTGCTGTATCCTGACCAGGTCAGGCAAGTGCAGGGCCTCCTACAGCATGAATGAGCAGAGGCTGTCAAGTCTCACCATCCCATGAATCTGGATCCTTCCAAAAAAATCGGGAAGAACCCCTGTAATATGACCTTGTGAGGCATATGGAACTTGGTGGAAAAGTATGTGACTGGAGCCCCTCATGTGCTGTCAATGTAACACGTGTGTGGAGTGATCTCACAATGATGTGAGCAAAACTCCCCCATGTAGCCCACGTCAGGTGTTTGAGTCACCTACCACAAGTACATGAGCAAAACTAGACATAGCAAAAGCAGACTAACAGTTCAAGGGGCTAGAACATTCAAAAACCTACATAGGAGCGTAGACCCAATTCCCACAGATCCTGATAATTTCAGGCACTGGCAGAAACTTCAAAAACATGGGTTTGACCTGGAATTACCATTTCTGACAAATGCAAATGTGTCTGGATCCCTCTACACTGTGAATGTGAGCAGAGCCTCTGAATATCCTGAGTTCTGCAGTCACATGTGGGGCACTGTACTGCGTGGTTAAAAGTACAGCACCTGAGGGCTAACCATTTAGTTCAGGGATGCCTCTGCCCGCCTCACAACCACAGAGTCCTGATTTTGATCCCCGTACCAAATACATAAAGCACCCTCGTGTTCTGACCACCACAGGTATCAATGGAGCTTTCGGCAACAGGAATGTGAACAGAGCCCTTCCCTGTCCTAACAATGCCAGCTATGTGCTGTCCCCCTACAATGAGAATGGCAGTAGTGCCCCTCATGAACAGTGTCTCCATCGTGTATGGAGCTCTCTAGAAATTGGACATGAAAAGAGGCCCACCCTTTCCTGACCCGCTCAGGTAGGTGCAAACCTCCTACACCATGATGTAAGCAAAGCCATGCCCATGTTGTGCTCACCACATGCCTGTGTGAAGACCCGTCCTACATGGAATGTGAATAGAGTGGTGCATTTTCTCAAAGACTCAGGCACACAGGCAATTCTGTACAACTCTCTATGTGAGCAGTGTATTTCCATGGCTGAAAAGTCTCGGTTATATACAGAGCCCTATACTACTTGGCTGTCATTGGAGCCCTCCATGAGATTGCCATTTCTGAAGGTAAACAACCTTAAACATGGGGCACGTGCACATATCCCAACTTCTGATGTGATTGTGAGCCCTCTCCCAAGGGAACATGAGCATAACCCCCCGTCCTGCCCCTCTCAGCAACCTGTAGAGACCTCTACACCATAGTGTGGGAAATGTGCCTCGGACTTTCACAACCTCAGGTATTTGTGGAACCCTCTATAAAGTGACACAGAGCACAGCCAATCTCACATTCTAATACTGCTTAGATCCTCAGTGAATCCCTCTTTAGCCTGGATGTTGTCAGAGTGCACAACCTCCTTTCAACCTCGGGAGTGTCAGGACCACATAATTCACAGGGTGAATGTGAACAGAAGCCCACACATAAATCCTGATTGACATACTAAGGAAGGTGGGGATTACTGTGAAATGTGGACATGAGCAGGCCGCACCGCGTCCTAAAATGTCAGGCACTTGGGAGGACCTGAACAAGTGAACTTGAAGAGGTGCTCTGCCTACGCTGCTGACTCAGGGCACGTATGATCTCTCTGCAAATGGAAGAACATGGAGCACCCAGAGGGCCTCCCCGTTCTGTCTCGTATGGAGCCTTCCCCCGGTGGGGAGGACAGGGGCCCCACTGACTGCTCACAGTCTCAGAGGTGGAAAGCTTCTGAAGCAGGGATATTACTAGACTTGTGCCAGTGCTCACACCCCTGTGTGGAGTCCTCCTTAATGTGGATGTGAGCTGAGAAGACAATGTCCTGACTATCTCACACAAGTGTGAACAACGCTACAGGTTGAGTGTGAGCTGAATATGCCCTTAAGACACACGAACACACGCACACATGCTTACCAGCTAGGGCAGGTATGTAGTCTCGCTAACTAGCTGTATACCGGGCCCTCTCTAATAGAAAACTGAGCAGTCTTCCTGCATCCCCCTTACTGTCATCCCTGTCCAAGACATGTGGAGAACCTTGTACAATGTGAACTTGGCCTCAACACTCACCATCTCCCCACCTAACCAGACCTGTCTGGTGACTTTTGCTATCTACATATATGTGTAGCTCCCAGCCCCACATCGTGACATCTACCAGAAGTTTGTGAGCATAAACATGCCTGTCCTGACCTTCCCAGCAATGTGTACAGTACTGCACAATACACATGTGAGCAGGGGCACTCCACGGTGTCTTGATGACCTCAGGCACGGTTGGAGCCCTGCAAAATGTGAAAGCACAGACAGAGCTTCCAATTCTAATCTCACAGGTGTGTGGGCCTTTTACAAAGTCAACTAGAATGGAGACCCTATGCCTTATATGCATCACTATGAAAAATGGAGATGTAGCTGGGGGTGGGGGTGCACGCCTGTAATCACAGCACCTGGGAGGCTGAGGCAGGAGGATCCCATGAGTTTGAGACCACCTCGGCTACACAGTGAGTTCCAGGTCAGTCTCAAATACATAGTGAGACCCTGTCTCAAAAAAAAAAAAATGGGAGACCTATGCTGGGCATTTAGCTCAGTGCTTCCACCACTTGCTTCACAAGCACAAGGGCCTGAGTTCAATTCATGGAACAAACAAACAAAAAAAAAACAGAAGGAATGGAGACCTGTGCACCGAGAACACTTATTTCCCGACCAATGTAGGCCTGCGGAAAATCTCTACAACATGGCTCTGACCGGCGTCCCCCACCACACAGTCTCTGCATCTCCCAAGTGTGGAGCAGCCTCAATGTGAATGTGAACAGATCACCCCATGTGCTCAGGAGCTCAGTCATAGGTGGAACCCTGTACACCTGGAACATGAGCAGAGCCTCTCCAAATGTGCTCAGGCTCAGTCATAGGTGGAACCCTGTACACCTGGAACATGAGCAGAGCCTCTCCATGTCCTGTCCTCTACAGGCCTGGGGGAACCTTGGACAACGTGGACGTGAGCAGCCCAGCTACATGCTGAACCTCTCACAGG